TCAACCTAAGATGTGTCACAGTCCAGGATAAGCTCATGGCGGCGCTCAAGGACCGAACACCACTACCCTTTGAGGACTCAGAGCTAACCTTTTACCAGGACTTATCGAGGGCCACGCTACTATGGCGCAAATCGTATTGGCCCGGCCACCCCACAGCTACGTGCTGCAGGTATAGCCTACAGGTGGGGAGCGGGGGGCTCCCTGGAAGTTACCTGCGCAGGGACAACACAAGTCCTCACTTCGCCAGATGAAGCCTCCAACTACCTGAAAACCCTCAACCTGCCGAACCAGGCTCCGAAACGCCACGGAGAGCACAAGGAGCACATGACTGCCTCACCTCACACCCCAGGAACAAGTGGACTGGGGGCTCAGGTTCCGCGAACACTTGCCGAGTAGCACAACCCAAGAGGAGACCAAGTCCAGTTACTATCCCACACACCGGCATTACCCCAACAAAGGAGAAACTCCCAGATATTACCTTAATGTTTCATGTTTACTATATGTTTGTGTTTTTTTGTTTTTTTTTCCTCTTCTGAGCTGACTAACTCACGGTCACTCAGGTCCCTGGACCTATAACCCACATAGACATAGAGCCCTACGACCCTGACTACCACATGGAATGGACAACACGGTAGAAGCCCTGAGAGGCGACTAGTCCCCATAAACACGCATCTCCTGCCCCCCCGCCACCCCCTTGGTAAGGGGTCCTCAACCTCACTGCTGAGGCAGAGCAAGACACCCCCAACGACAACACAGGTACAGCTACGCCAGACACGAACACAAAACATGTGTCCCAGGCTTATAATACACATGGCATGTTAGACATGAACGTGGAAGAACAATATAACCACAATGCCCCTCTGAGAGCATACGACCAGCCAGATAGTCATACAGCAGAAACAAGACACCGCAGTGCCTTCGAACTGCCACACCTGCCCAGCATTTACACCCTACCACGATCAGCTAGTCCCATAGTAGAGTACAACCCATCACACAGATTACATAACTGACAATCACACAATACTGGACCAACTCCACTATGTAGATGTGACTAACCAAACTGTTATATTTCCCTGTTATTCCTTATTGAAAAATGTGCTATATACATCGATGCCATGCAATTGTCACTAAATATCTTATATCAAAGCAATGTCTCCACAGCAATGGCAGCACATACCTGTTTAACAATACTATGCACAAGAAAATAAAGAAAAAAAAAAAGTAAAAATGTGAATTATTCTCATTAGTTCTGCTGTGCATTTTCAATTATATAAAATGTTTTATCATAAATAGGGAGTCTTTTTAGACGCTATCTGGCGCATATTTTTGGATACGCTTTTGAAATGACCCCAATCAGTCACCATTAAAGCCTATGAATAGATTGTGATCATCTGAAAAGCTTTCTGTGAACTATTAAATTGAGGCTATAATGGTCCTTCTTTCAACTTACTTATGTGAATTATGCTTTTAGTTTCTTAAATATCCAAGGAATTATTTCTTCCGCAAATTAAACTCTTTTATAGTTTGTATAAGGAATACGGCAAAGCGCAAAATTAAGTATGGACCGTCCACTACTGTCACAGTTAATGTTATATTTAAAAAGTTCCTAATTTTAGCCTTTATAAAGTGGCAAGGAGTTTCCATTAGACTTGTCCACAAATCGCTTTCAGCTGCGTCCTGTTAATCTATGGGTGAACAAATCGATTCGTTAGTCAATCCTCAACGCATTGATTAGTTTGTCTATGAGTAATAGGCATTTGATTCATGTGATGCAGCTGAAAGGGATTTGTGCACAAGTCTAGTTTCTGTAACCTCTACAAATTTGTTCATCTAAGTAAAGTGTTACTTATATAACTATCTATTCCAGTTTTTAATTCCAATAAATGCTGAAGTCAAATTTGAGCATTATTAAGCTACATCTTATTAATATCATTGATCATTTCCATCAAGAAAATAAAGGTGAGTGACTGTACTATTATATACAACTTCGCAGTGGAGATCACTAAGTCTTTGTGTCGTAAGTCAAAGAAAAGTAATTTTTAGTATTAAACAATAACATCTTTCTTTTTAGCGTTATGGGTGAGCCAAGGGTCTGTGACTCAAGATTTTGTGAGCAAGATTTTTTTTTAGCAGCCCCAAGTGGGCATGGTTTAAATAACATAAATGTTTAATGCAACATACAGGGAAAATTTTCACTGATCTGATGCTGATAATAGCAGACCCAGAAATCATTTTTGAATGATAGAATTGTGACTGCGCCAACATTCTTAACAGATCATGATGCATTAGTAGTAGTTACCGTAAATATGCAATTGTCATTTCCCTAAATGTTTATGTAGAATATAAAAATTCTATATATTTTTGTCAGGCTTTTTATTTCCCCAATATATCCATTTACTGGAGGCCGTTCTCCACTAACCTGTAGTCATAGGGCCCTCATTCTGAATTCATAAGCATGTTGCAATAGGTTATATGTCTTGTAACTGTTAATGCACAACAAGACTATAATTGAATAACATAGCTACTTGTGATAGACACATATAAATTATGCAGTCAATTATGGTTGGTGGGGCTTAAAAGCTAACATTCTATTTTCAGGGCCGCTGTGATTGCTAGGCGGATTAGGCAGTTGCCTAGAGAGCACCAGCCTGGGGGATGCAGTCTTCGGGTGCACAGTGCTCCCCACCTGCCAGTCACTGCAATTGTGTGGCCGAGTTGCAGACCACAGTAGAGGAGCTTCTGTATCCTCTAGTCTACAGTCTGACAAGAAGTGCACGCAGGGAGAGCCAAACTGCTTCCTTTCAGACCAGGTGAAAGACACATGAAGGAGGGAAGTGAGCAGGCACAGGTGGATGGAGACACAGAAGATTGAGGGGTATAGGCACACAGAGGACTGGGGGGAGGAATGGCACAGAAAGGACTGAGGGGGAGAGAGGCACACAGAGGGCTGTGGGGGAAAGGCACACAGAGGACTGGGGGGAGGAATGTCCCACAGAGGGCTGATGAGTGAAGCGAGGCACAGAAAGGACAGAGGGGGAGAGAGGCACACAGAGGGCTGAGGGGGGAGAGAGGCACACAGGGGGCTGGGCATGAGACAAAGAGACACACTGAGGGGCTGGGAAGAAAAGAGACACACATAAAGGGGCTGAGGGAGAAAGAGACGCAGAAAGGTGCTGGGAATAAGAGACACACAGTAGGGCTGGGAACGGTGAAAAAGATACACACAAAGGGGTTGAAAGATAAAGAAACACACAAAGGGACTGGGGGCTAAAGAGACAAACAAAGGAGTTGGATGTGAAAGAAAGTGACACACAAAGTTGGCAATTTTTGTTGTTTTATTAGGGGGGAGGATGCAAGTAGCTGGTCTTGCCTAGGGCACAAAATAGACTTGCACCGGCCCTGTCTACTTTACTAGCCAGATCTTAAAGGTTAAAGGTTATGACTTACTGGAGAGTCATTGGCATATCTACCACAGGTGAATTTCTATTTGTTATTGGCTAGTGGCAAGTGGAAAATTTGACTTCTGATGGTTAAAGTGAGAGAGCAATTGTAAGTAGTTGGAATTGGGCTCCTCCTTATACAGATTGTCTTTTTTCTTGAATGACATGAAAGGAATGCTGAAAATCTCAAAATAGTTCTACCTTTTTTGTTTTTGTAATTTTTTTTGAGTGATTCTGTTTTGCATTGCAGTGTGTTTTCTGATCCTTTCACTCCTGTCTTATCAGTCCTCATCTTTACTGTAACTGTCTTTTCCATGATTTATGGTTGCCAGTAGCAAAAGAATGCTGAATCTTTAAATAGCAGAACATTTTTTCCAATGTACAACATATTACTCATCAGCTCTTACTCATCAGGTCAGAGCTCTGCCATCACGATGTCATCTTCTGGTCCAGAGGTGGTCCTTTCATCTCGCATGTGCTGGGCTGTATTTGATGTGCACGCTGTGCTGTGCGGGGATGATAGACGGCTATCATTAGGAATGTAGGGACATGAAAGTAACTACAATATTGGTATTAATGCTACTTACAGATAAGCAATGTTTACCTCTTTTTTCCCAAAAAAACATTTTATTCAGCAAATCTGTAGGAAAGCAGGGATTACAGATGCAAAGCATAGGGTAGAGGTTGAACACTGGGGACATGTATGGGCTTTCTTTATTGTAAATAGTAACTAGCCAGTTTATTCGGAAATTTTATTAAAGTTTATTTTCAAATAAAGAGAGATAAGGGAAGTAGTGTTATTTTGTGTTGCATATCGCCCAACATTGCAAATGGACAAAGAGGGACACTTTTGTTATAGGGATGTGAGTGGGGGTGTTGTCAGGGGCCATGCTGGGAAATTTTAGTTGGCTTCATGGCTTATTAATTCATAACTATTTATCTAAAATGTAATTTAGAACAAAAACAACGTACCTTATTTACAGAGTGGTTTCTAAACACATTTGCTGTAAGTGAAATACACATTTCTGTAAGTATTGGTGCTGTTGAGCTCTGTTATAAATTTAGACCCACCAGGAAGACTAAGTTCCCATCAAAAAAGGGCATTAGGATAAAATAGAGGTACAGGGGGATTTGTTCCCAATATAGGGGATACTTGGGATGTATACTTGGGATGTATGGTTTGGTGGGAAGATGCAGAATGCCCATATTAGGCGGTATTAGCAATGGGGACAACAAGTTATTGGGGCATGAAGGCCTTTACTATGGCCCATTATGACTTACCTTGTGGGCAAATCCACAGGCAATGATTAATGTCTACTTGAGGTTGCTTGCAGTTCCAGCAAGAGTTGGTGGGTTAAATTCCCTTGACATATTGCTCATGGGGAGTGAAGTAGGCATACTCCAAAACTTTAATTGGCATCTCCTGGGTTGTGGTTCCTGGGTAGAGTTCTAGAAAGTTGAGTATGTGCCTCTAAAAGTTTGTTATTGGTGTGTTTACCCATTTTGTGATCCAGCAACTTGTGAGTATAACACAGATATATTTTACAAACTCACGCACAGCTCACAGTACGTAGGACAACTTACAAATTTAATGAGCTCTGTATGAACATTGTTTCAGGACCTACGCCTAGATGGGATCTCTACTTTTTTCTTTTTACTTGCACAGTTATTTCCCAAATTTAGATTTTCACGGTCAATTATACTCTCTTAGTTTTCTGCTCTTATTATATCATGATTTAGCTCTAGAAAGATTAACTATCAAAAAATAACAGAGGAAAATGGAACCCTTAAAGTGCATCTGTCATGACACATTCAACTTAATTTTAAATGATAGAGAATCAATTTTCATCTATACATTGTACTAGAAGAATTGCAGGCAAATGACGAGATTTCTCTAAAATTAGAGATCAAAAAAACAGTGTCCCCCCTCGCTCTCAGTCAATTCACACTGAGCCGATCAGTACACAGATAATAAGGCTGCACTCTGCAAGTTTTGTTACCAGGGAAACCCTCCTCTGGACATCACTTCTTCTTGCCATCAGCTTAAATTTGCAGAGCTGCCCAACAGGTAGATCCCCAGATGTTGTAGAACTACAACTCCAATTATGCTTTGCATGCCATTAGAATGCGTTTAGAATGACAAAGCATCGTGGGAGTTGTAGTTCTACAGCATCTGGGAATCTACCTGTTAGGCAGCCCTGGCCTAAAGGAAAGCAATGCGTGCAAGGGGAATGAGGGAGAAGGGGCAGGCTCTGTGTGAGAGCAGCATCATGGAGAGAAAGAGCCAGAATGATTTATTGCAGCAGCTTTGGAAAAGCAATCTGAGAATGGAGAGAGAGAGAGAGAGAAATATAATAGATATGTTTTATTTACATACCATAAACCCCCCATAAAATAATGGGGAATTTTAACCTGTTATTGGAAGAAAGTCCATGCTTCCCAAAGAGAGGTATGCTGGAGAAGTGTGTCTTACAGCAAATGTGTAACACCAACTCGAAACCTAAAAACTCATGCTTTAATTTATTTGTTTTGCCCCTGGCTTCTGCTGAGACCAAAAATTGATTGGTGCTCTTAGCAGGAGATGTGGGTAATGTAAATAAATTAAAATATGAGGTTTTAATAGTGTAAGCAGTAGAATCACTTAATTATATAAGATGAGTCAAGCCAGATAGCTTGAAAACTGCAAACCTATATCTGTCATGACAGGTTCACTTTAAGAAGCCTCACTGATTTAATGGACTTTGTCTGTTTTCTGAAAAACATATTTCTCTGTACCACTGAATCTCTGGGAATCACAGTTCCTAGGCGTAAATCCGTGAGACTCTGTGAGTTCAAACACAGGCATTGACATTCAGCAACACTAAGTATCTGAAAATGACAGGGTGCTGACAATGATGATTAAATCACTAATGGTTTTGTATTGCATGAGAGAGACCAGGAATGAAAAGTAATCACAGAACTAGAGTATGGACGGACGGACGAGAGATGGCACTCTACTCTCTTTTCATAACCTGCCAACTAGGAAACAGGGATTACAAAATTAAAGGAAGAGTCCAAACCCCTAAAGAACTTCAGCATGTCCTATTTCTTTCATTTTACAAAACTTGCAGATTAGAAATTGGCAATTTATAAATTAACCTTCTTACAACCCCCCGGCTGTCAATTAACCAGCTGTTTTTAGATATACCTCCCCAATGAAAAAAAAATGTATTATTAAATGCATGTATGCTTTGGCAGCATATCTACCATTGGTGATTTTTTATTTTATTTATATTTTATTTGGGCAGTGGAATGTCCCTGCAAACTACACCAATTACATAGGCAGGGGCGTACCTGGAGCATTTGGCACCCGGGGCGGATCCTTTATTTGGCACCCCCCCCCCCAACTTAAAATGTAAAAAACTACCACAATTTTTTTTATGTATTTAGCACTGAGCATTGTTTGTATTTTTTTAATGTAAGCATGTTTTTGTATGGAG